TTATATTTTTTGAATTAAATTAAATATTAATTAAATTGAATTAAATTAAATATCGTAATAATTGTAATAAATATATTTAAAAAAATAAATAAAATAAATAATGTTAAGGAAAGACAAATAATATGATAATTAAATATTTCTTTATCAAAATTTAAAAATTAATATAAAAATCAATCTAATATAAAAAAATATATACATATTATTTATTATATATATAATATATAATAATTTAAAAAATTAGTTAAGAAAAATGTTTTGAATTATCTTAATGAAATCTATATAGGTTTTGATAAATATATAATGAATAAAGGTTTTGAAATATAATAATGAATAATTTTTGAATAATTTGAATAATTTTTTTCGTATAGTAAAAGTGGTAATAAGGGAAGAGCAAACAAAAGTGTCATTTTTAGTCATGTTTACACTCAAATTGAACACTCGTGAATATTTGTGTAAAGAACAAATGAAGATAGGTGTTAAAAGACACGCGAGATTGACAGGAATCCAGGGTACTTAGGAATCAATTTTATATAGGCTTACGGTGGTCGAGTGAAAATGCATATGTTGAGGGGGCCTCAAGGGGCTTTCGATGCAAGTGGACCCCCGGGGTACACATCCCAGTTGGAACAGAACACCCTCGATTCCCCCTCCTCACTTTGGTGTCGAAATCTATAAATAATTTATATCATTTGGTCCATTCACTGAAAGAGCCCATATGTACCTGTGTCGCCTTACAGGGGACCTAGATTTTTTCCTGGAATATCGCTTCGATCAAAAATCTCAATCGAGAGTATATGTAATATATGCATTCAAATACTATTATATTCATTAATATTATTATTGTATTTATATTAACAATATTATTGTATTCATTAATGGAATAAAAAAAAAACAATGTTAATTGAATCTTCATCATCATTGATTTAATATTTAATAAAGATGCATTTCTAATAATTTACGATATTTTTTGCGAGAGCAATTCTCTGACATGTATAAATATGTTTGAGATAATGATAATTGTAATTATCGATATGTTATTGATAATTTTTTATATATTCTGATAATATCGTTGAGATATTATAAATAGACGGAATTATATTGAAATACAAATGATTAGAATATTTTTTCTTATTCAAAGTTATTATTAAGATATTTAAAAATGTTATTTATGTTATTACTTATTTGTTGAGTTTCAATAAAAATAAGTTTTATTAAAGAATTATATTGCAGTTTACTTTAATTATTTCTACTTGTGTTATTGATTATCTTAACGATATTTTAAATATATATAATAATCAAATTATTAGTTATCATTGATAGTCATAGTTCTAAGAGAGATAGTAAATTGAATTTATTTATAATAATTGTTTTCAGAGAATAATATAATCGTGTAAATACTTATTTCCTTCATATCGGACTAAATAAATAATCTCTACTTTTTAATGTGAAATATTTCTTAAAATTTATATATCAATAAAAATGATAGAAAAATTTATGTTCGTATTTTTCTTATCTTTTATATAATATCTAAGCTTTATAACATTCAAAAAAGTAAAAATATTTCTTAAACTAATTTTTTTTTGGAAATTATTATTATGTAATTAATATTAATTATTTTTTTAAAGAATGCAATACCGCTTAAATTCTGCATATGCAATCTTAATTAATGCAAAAGTGAATAATATAAAAATCAAATTTCATTGTATTTTGATTCGTAAATAGTTAATTTATTGATTCTACATATAAAATGCTAAAATTATCTTATTAAAAAATTTTTAAGACAGAGTTATTTTTGGTTTAATTTTTGAATAGTTTAAATATAAATATTTTATAAATATCATTAATATATATATAAATATAAATATAATTAATAAAAATCTTTTAGAAAAATCTTCTTAAAAAAAAATGAAAAAAATATATGAATTGGAAGGAAACCATATTTGATTAATAACAAATAAAATTATTCAATTTCATGTAATTAAATTTTGCTTTAAAAATAAAATAAATCAAAGAATTAATATGGTGTACCTGCTGATATTAAATATTGACGATTGATTCATTGAAATGAAATAAAATTAAAATGATCTTTGCAAAATAATAAATTCAATTTATATTGATAGGATTGATAAATATTTTTAAATATTGAATATATTAGTTAATTATATTGTCAATTTATTTTTATCTCTTATCATAATTGCAATAACAATTTGCAATAACAATATATATTTTTATTATTATATTTTTCCATAATTTTCCAATTTATATATATTTTTCTTTTATTTATATTCATAAAGAATATACTTTAACTGGAACATTAAATTTGGCTTTATTATCATATAAAAACAATTTATATCTTTCAAAGCAAGTTTTATAGATAAAAAAAACTTGTTTACTTATTTAAGTCATTGTAGAATAATATGTATTATATAAAATAATTCATATATAAAATATTTTTCATTTGTTTATCAAGATTTAAATATTCTTTTTCTCATATTGAAAAAAAATGAAAATCAATAAATTAAATAATGTGAATTGTTTATATTAAAGCGAAAAAATAAAGAATGAAAGATTAATTTACATTTGAATCTGAAAAATAATATAATATGTAATAATGTTTTGACATTTCTTCTATTTTGATATTTATCAAAAATATTTTTAGTATAATAAAATCTAATAAAAATTTATAAATAAAAAAATATTTTTAAAAAATTAGTCATTAGAAGAATAAAATTATTATTCTCTTGCTTATTAAATATTTTTATATATTTAATCATTATATTTGTCTAAAAAGAAATGAATACATATTTTGCGAATAAATTTTCAAATAACCCGCTTTTTATCTCTCAAAATTCAATATCCATAGATATCTCGAAACATACTCTCGAATCGAAGAAATTAGAACCTATTTTGCTTCAGATTAGGTTATTCTAACCTAACCTTAATTCGAGATTGGCACCGATGTTTTTTAGTCAACTTGAATTGTGCGAATTTAATTGCACATAAAGAAATTAATAAATTGTATCATTTACCTGGATTTAACGATTTAATGATCGACTGTTGAATTATTGATCTTGAAATATGAGTCGAACTTCTGTTCGATTTTTTGTGGTCGATCTTTTCAATAATGTTTTCAACTGGATTTTCTCTTCTGTAACGCGCGTGACATTTATCGACGTTCTTCATGGAGTTTGCGTATTCGAAGAGTTGCTCGTTATACTATTCGTTCATAAAGCGGGATATTTTGCTTTTGAATTTTACAAATCGATTCATTTGTATATTTTGAAAATCGAAAAAATATTAATTACAACCAATAAATCTATATCTTGAAATATATCTTGAAATATTTCAGAAAAAAAACAAATTTAAATGCAAATAATTGATCTCTTAGAGAGCATTAAATCATTTAGATTGTTATATAACATGAAATGATCGATTTTATAAATATATATAACTATTCAAAATACAATATCTTAAATATACAATTAAGTAATATTTATTACATCTTAACTATGTTTACATATGTTTAAAGTTAAATAAATATATATATAAAATTTAGATAAAATAATTTTATTATTATTG